AAAAACTATAAATATTTATTATTTGTTTAGGAAAATAAGGATTTCTTTGAATTTTTTATACAGGACGTATGATTGTTATTAATTTCAATAGACCTACAGACGTATGCTTAATATTAAAGGGAAAACTTTCGTCTTATAAAGAATTTTAAAGCTATTTTTAACTCTTTTTGCATAAATAACTTAATTTCTTTATAATTTCTTATTAAATATTTAAATTTTCCCTTTTTTATACTCTAATTTAAATACGTTTTTCTTTATCCATTCTTTGCTAACTCACATTAAACAAACGAGTGTTGACAACTGATTGTGTTTTCTATTTGTTGGCGCTTCTAAAAACACTTTAAATCTTTTTGTCATTGAGCCAAATAGCAAAAAAAAAAAAGAGGAAAACAACCAAAAAGAAGCTTTGTAAAAAGTGCTATATTGTTACGAACAAAGCTCCCTGATTAGTAGAGAAGGCAGTAAAAGGAAAACATACACATGAAATCCTCTGCATGTTAAATAAATAATATAAATATTTAAAAGTAGAATGTTAAGGCAAAAAGGCAACAAATAACAACATTTCAATGATTTTCTACAAAAAAGTTTTGTTTTATAGTAGATCAACTTTCTTCAGAGCAAAATTGTCTGGAGTAGATAAACTTTTCTTAGAGCAAGGTTGTTCGGAAGTTGTCTAGAATGGATAAACTTTTCTCAGAGGAAAGTTGTGTAGAATATCCAAGAAATGATCAACTTTTCTAACTGTACTTTTCTGCAAGTAAAATTGTTCAGACTAGATCAACTTTTCATAGTGGAAATTCGTCTAGAATATATCAACAACAAGTGGTCTAGAATAGATCAACTTTTCATAGAGGAAAGTCGTTTAGAATAGATTTACTTTTCTCAGAAGAAACTTCTCTGGAATAGATCTATTTTCCTCAGAGTAAAATTGTTCAGACTAGATCATCCTTTCATAGAGGAAAGTCGTCTAGTATAGATCAACTTTTATCAGAATAGATCAACTTTTCATAGAGAAACATCGTCTAGAATAGATTAACTTTTCTCTGAAGAAACTTCCCTAAAATAGATCAACTTTCGTTAGAGTAAAATTGTTCAGACTAGATCAACTTTTCATAGAGGAAAGTCGTCTAGAATAGATTCACTTTTGTCAGAAGAAAGTTGTCTAGAATAGATCAACTTTTCTCAGAGGAAAGTTGTCTAGAATATACCAGCTTTTCTCAGAGAAAAGTTGTCTAGAATAGATCAACTTTTCATAGAGGAAAGTCTTCTAGAATAGATCAACTTTTGTCAGAGGAAAGGTGTCTAGAATAGATCAATTTTTCTCAGAGGAAAGTTGTCTAAGTAAATCAACTTTTCATTGAGGAAAGTCGTCTAGAATAGATTAAATTTTCTCAGAATAAACTTCTCTAGAATAGATCAACTTTCCTCGGAGTAAAATTTTTCAGACTAGATCAACTTTTCTCAGAGGAAAGTTGTCTAGAATGGATGAACTTTTCTCAGAAGAAAGTTGTCTAGAATAGATCAACTTTTCTCAGAGGAATGTTCTCCAGAATTGATCAACTTCATTAAAGCTTTAGTTTCTTAATCTAACTTATAGATGTGAAAGCTTAATTTATTATGGAATAGTTGCTTGTGTCAAGACTTTCTTTACTATATAAAAGCTGCTTGTCGGAAAGTTTTCATTTCTAATGAAAAGATTTTTGTGTGAAAGCTTTGCTTTTCTTAAAAAGTTGTGCCTATGAAAACTTTATTTTCTATAGAAAAGTTGTTTATATGAAATATATATTTTCTTTGGAAAAGTTGCTTGTGTAAAAGCTTTAATTTCCCTTAATAAGTTGTTTCCCTAAAAGCTTTTTTTTGTATAGAAAATTTGCTTGTGTGAAAGGTTTTTTTTTCAATTAAAAAGTTGTTTGTATTAAAGCTTTATTTTCTATGGAAATATTGTTTAGGTGAAAGCTTTCCTTTTTTGTAGGAAAGTAGCTTGTTTGAAAGCTTTTTTTTGTAGAAAAGTTGCATTGCGTGAAAGCTTTATTTACCATAGAAAAGTTTTTGTTTGAAAGCTTTCTTTTCTATAGAAAAATTACTTGTGTGAAAGCTTTCTTTTCTTTAAAATGTTGCTTGTGTCAAAGCTTTCCCTTTAGTAGAAAAGTTGCTTGTTTTAAAGCCTTCTTTTCTATAGAAAAGTTGCTAGTATGAAAACTTTCTTTTCTATAGAAAGGTTGCTTGTTTGAAAGCTTAATTTTCTATAGCAAAGTTGCTGGTGTGAAAGCTTTCTTTTTTATAGAAAAGTTTATCGTATGAAAGCTCACTTTCTTATAGAAAAGTTACTTGTGTGAAAGTTTTCATTAAATAAGTTTAATATTGCTTTTAATATTGAAAAATTCCTTTTAATTTTTGTACTTTAGGTCCTTTTTGGTTTCTTAAGTTGATAAATGTTTATATGGATGAATAGCATGTAGATGAACCTCGATTCATAGGGTATTGTGTTTGTAAAATGTTTTCAACTATAAGCTCTTTTAATGTATAACAAACATATATAAACATGCTTACACACACTTTCTATACCATGTGTATTAAAATTATACTATTGAAATAAATAAAATACTTATATATTTTAACACATACATGCATGCATACATATATGAAAAAGTTACATGAAGCTGTTTACGTATCAAAGTCGATATTTTCGTATGTGTTAGTATTGGTTGTATGTTTTGCTAGTCTATGATATGTTACAATCTAAGGATTATTGTAGATTATGTTTATGCGCTTAACTACCAAAATGCCAATGTTGGTAAATGAAAACAGCAACCAAAAACTGAGTAAATCCCAGTAAAAATGAACCAAAAAAAAGAAGAAAAATTACAACAGCACATAATGACAAAAAATGTTTTTGTCATTTAAGTCTCTATTTAGTTAATTTTCTATACGCCACAATGGTTTTTGAAAATATACATACATACTATCTAGCGTTTTGCTTTTAAACTGTCATTGTGCGGCCTGGCATACTTTTAGGGTTGAATAAATAGAAATTAACTAGTAGTGACATACAATTTTAGTTATACAGTTTTTGTTGTTGTTTAGTAAATGACACTTAAAATCTGGTTAAAGAGAGAAATAAATAATAAGAAAAGAAAAACACATTAAAGATTTTATATGGAACTTAAAATGTTAAATTTAAATTAAGCCTTAAAGTAGGCAAAGAATAATATTTGCCAGAACTGTAATACTAAAAAGGGGGCGTTTTTAGTATTTAGTCTTTAATTGTTTAAACAAATTCTCAAAATTTTACAACAAAATGCTGCCATTATGTTCAAAAAAGCCACTTGTATAAGTTATTTATGTTAATGTATGTTTTTGCTTCTGCTACCTTTGTTCAAATAACAAAAACAACAATATTTACCTTCAACTCTTAAAAGTATGCTATAGAAATATATTTATATATATTTAAGTGGGCGTGATGTTGCCTGCTTAAAAGCAAAACCTGATAACAAAAAGAAAAATATTCATATGTATGTATATAAGAGTATATTTAAGTTATAATAACATTTTATAAGATTTGCATATTTTACGAGGCTTTTTTTCCTCCATATTCTTTTGTTCCACTTCTTGTATATATTTTTTTTATTTTAATTTATGAAAGTATTTAAAATTGTGCAACATTAAAAAAAATTGTATATAAAAAATTTATTTATGAAAGTATTTTTTATATTGCCTTAAATATAAAAAGACTACTATAATGAAAAATAAATGAAGTTTTTTCTTCTACTATAATAAATGTATGTCTTCTAAATATGTTATTAAATATTTTCTTGTTCAAAAAGCAGATAAAAAATATACGTTATATGTAATTTAAATTTTACCTAAATTATAGCTTTGAAAATATAAAGAAAATAGAACAGTAACATTTTAATAAAAAAGGCCTTGAAACTATTTTACCAAAAAGCCGTCTAACAAGAACTTTTGTTTGTCTTTAAAGATTCCCTTTCTATAGAAAAATTGTTTGTCTAAACGTGTTTTCTTCTATAGAAAGAAGTTGTTCGTGTTAAAAGCTTAATTTTATACAGAACAGTTGCTTAAAGTTTCCATAAAACGATTGATTGGTCTGAGTGAAAGCTTTCTTCTATAAAAAAGTTGCTTGTCTGAAAAGCTTACTTTTCTATAGAAAAGTTGCTTGTCTGAAAAGCTTACTTTTCTATAGAAGAGTTGCTTGTCTGAAAAGCTTACTTTTCTATAGAAAAGTTGCTTGTCTGAAAAGCTTACTTTTCTATAAAAAAGTTGCTTGTCTGAAAAGCTTACTTTTCTATCGAAAAGTTGCTTGTCTGAAAAGCTTACTTTTCTATCGAAAAGTTGCTTGTCTGAAAAGCTTACTTTTCTATAGAAAAGTTGCTTGTCTGAAAAGCTTACTTTTCTATCGAAAAGTTGCTTGTCTGAAAAGCTTACTTTTCTATAGAAAAGTTGCTTGTCTGAAAAGCTTACTTTTCTATAGAAAAGTTGCTTGTCTGAAAAGCTTACTTTTCTATAGAAAAGTTGCTTGTCTGAAAAGCTTACTTTTCTATAGAAAAGTTGCTTGTCTGAAAAGTTTACTTTTCTATAGAAAAGTTGCTTGTCTGAAAAGCTTACTTTTCTATAGAAAAGTTGCTTGTCTGAAAAGCTTACTTTTCTATAGAAAAGTTGCTTGTCTGAAAAGCTTACTTTTCTATAGAAAAGTTGCTTGTCTGAAAAGCTTACTTTTCTAAAGAAAAGTTGCTTGTGTGAAAAGCTTACTTTTCTATAGAAAATTTGTTTGCCTGAAAAGCTTATTTTTCTATAGAAAAGTTGCTTGTGTAAAAACTTTCTCTTCTTAAGAAGTTATTCTTCTTTTCTACAGAAAAATTCTAGACTTTTTGCTGAAATTTTACCTTAAAGCTTAGTTGTTTGTTTTAAAACTTTCTTTCTTTGAAAAAGTCTATTTTATTTGTGAAGTGTTTCTCTAATTTTATTATTTGAAAATTGCTTACCATTTCATTTAAAATCAAACCATTTTGATAATTGAAAACTACTATTGCAAATCGAAAAACTAAAGTTAACACTGCAAAACACACACTCTATTAGAGTAATTTGAATTCCATTAGTAAAATTTTATTTTTTCCAAAATAAACTTCTGGCATATAACTCAGAACATACATATGTATGTGTTGTAAGTAAAAGTAAGATTTTTTTACACAATTTTAGCATATGACTGAGGAAAAAAATGACTCAAGTTTTTAGCATTTATCTGCCAAGAAAATGTTATTATCATAAGTGTATTTGCATGCATAGACATGCATATAAGTATAACGTAAGTAAAACTAACATTGTAAGGATTTTACTAGCATTTGCTTTGATAATGTGTATATGTGGGGGGGGGTCATATGTTTCTAGCTAGGGCAGACAAAGTGCGTTTTTTTATATATTTCTTTGACGACAGTGGTTTGTTGGTTGGGTGGGAGAGCGGTTGACGAAGGAAAAAAGTCATAAAATTTAATGTAAGTTGCATTATTTTCCATTTATTTTTTAAGGTAATACTCTTAACTAACGGAAATGGAGCATAGAAAGAGGTTAAATAAATAGTTTGTAATAGAGACCATTAAAAAAATGCATATGAAATGTTTTAGAAGTGTGTGTGTTTTTTTTAGGGAAAAGGAAATAAACAAAAAAGAAATCAATTTATTTAACCTAAAAGCATACTATACTTTTTTTGAATTCTACTTAGTTTTAATCATTTAAAGAGTTTTTCTCTTTTTTTTTTTTGCTATTTAAAATGTGTTTTCTTGTTTTGCTTCTAAAGGTATTGTTATGCAAAGTTTTTTTGTCTTTTTTCTCAACTTCTTTCAGCCACCACAATTTTTCCCAAATGAATATATTAAAAAGGTTGTTTTCTTAACAAATTGTTGTTCATTTTTTTTTGTCGTTAGAAAACAAAATTGAACAAAAGCTAAGAAATTTGTAGTTGTTTAGTAAAAAGAAATTGAAAAGCAAAACAAGCTAAAATGTTTTTTAAAATGTATTCTATGGAGTATGCTTTGAAAGTATCTTTAGAAGAAATGTTATTCCTAAGAGTAGTTTTGCTAACTTTACACAGGTGATTAAAATAAAATTTTATTTTCTTAATATTCTCCATGAATATCAGAGTTTATTTAAATTTTAAATAAATATATTTCTAGTTATTTAAAAAATAACTATTTGCTTTCATTTTCCATATGCTGGTAGTTTTAAAAAATTTAACATTTTGGCACGTTCATTGTTCTTTATTTTTTTGCCCCTACTGCACTTTCTTTATTATTGGCTTAAGCCTCAACCATAAAACAATTGAATTTGCTGAAGGCAATTTAACCTTTTTGGCTGAATGAAGGCATGATGTTTTGCCCGTCGTGGCCTGCCGTGGCTGCATTGACTGCAGCTTGCTTTAACTAAAGGGAAATTGACTATGGTTAGTTCAGTGACTTTCAGTGTTAACCTTTTTAACACTAAGATAGCTGGTATGTGGAAGCCATAGACAAATCAGCTTATTGCAGGGTGGGCCTTAAATGAAAATTGTTCACATAATGTGTGGCTGAAGTATTTTACCATACTTTTATTTATTGTTCACCCTATTTTGTGTTCTCGTAAAGAGTGAAAAATTGGCAGAATTTCATATTTTTGTATGGCAGGGCATAAAATAACAGGAAATTACTCTAGGGTCATAATGCCTTTGTATGAGTTTATGTAAATGTTTGTTTAATGTATGTATTTATAGTTAACTTAAGACATATTTTCTTTTTTTCTTCTATGCGCCTTTATTGATTTAACATTATGGTTTCATTTTCTGTTTTTTTTTAAGTCATAAATTTTCTATATATTTTTGGTTTTAGTTTAATAGTAATAAATAGTAGAGAATTTTTTTGTTATGCTTTTAAAAATACATTAACTTGCAGCCTAAATGTATGCAGTAAAAACGTGTGTTAAGTAAAAGCTTTTAGGAAAATGGATTTTGAGTTATGAATTGTTGAAGAGTTGAGCACAAACAACTTTATTATGGAGAAAAAACTTTTATTAACGCAACTTTTCTTTGGGAAATAAAATCTAAACACTAGCCACTTTTCTATAGAAAGGAAAACTTTCATACAAACAACTTTTCTATAGAAAATAAAGATTTCATACAAAAAACTTTTCTATACAAAACAAAGCATTCACACCAGCAACTTTTTTTTATAGGAAATAAAGCTTTCATACAGGCAACTTTGATATAGAAAAGAAAGCTTTCATACAAGCAACTTTTCTATAAAAAAGAAAGCTTTCATAAAAGCAACTTTTCTATAAAAAAGAAAGCTTTCATACAAGCAACTTTTCTATAGAAAAGTAAGCTTTTCAGACAAGCAACTTTTCTATAGAAAAGTAAGCTTTTCAGACAAGCAACAAGCAAAAAACTTTTCTATACAAAACAAAGCATTCACACAAGCAACTTTTTTTATAGGAAATAAAGCTTTCATACAGGCAACTTTTCTATAAAAAAGTAATCTTTTCAGACAAGCAACTTTTCTATAGAAAAGTAAGCTTTTCAGACAAGCAACTTTTCTATAGAAAAGTAAGCTTTTCAGACAAGCAACTTTTCTATAGAAAAGTAAGCTTTTCAGACAAGCAACTTTTCTATAGAAAAGTAAGCTTTTCAGACAAGCAACTTTTCTATAGAAAAGTAAGCTTTTCAGACAAGCAACTTTTCTATAGAAAAGTAAGCTTTTCAGACAAGCAACTTTTCTATAGAAAAGTAAGCTTTTCAGACAAGCAACTTTTCTATAGAAAAGTAAGCTTTTCAGACAAGCAACTTTTCTATAGAAAAGTAAGCTTTTCAGACAAGCAACTTTTCTATAGAAAAGTAAGCTTTTCAGACAAGCAACTTTTCTATAGAAAAGTAAGCTTTTCAGACAAGCAACTTTTCTATAGAAAAGTAAGCTTTTCAGACAAGCAACTTTTCTATAGAAAAGTAAGCTTTTCAGACAAGTAACTTTTAAACAGAAATAAAAGCTTTCGGACAAGTTATTTTTTATTGAAATAAAAGCTTTTAGATAAGCAACTTTTCTATGAAAAGGTAAGCTTTTGAAAAAAAAATTACAAAAATAAAATCAGCTTTTCGGTAGAAAAAAGTCAACATGTAATCATCCTAACAACATCCTAGCAATATTTCTATGAATTAATCATGTTAATGATAATAATACTTATTAATTATGCAAATAAATACAAAAATAACTAGCAGCTACAAAAAACCAACAAATGTTAGACTTCGTTCGTTTTACTTAATAAATTAACATTTTCGTAGAATATTTAAACAACAACCATTTTACAGATTTCACTAACAAGGAAAAATAAATTTAACCTTAAGCTAATTTTGAAGAAAAACTTTAGAATTGGGGAAAACATCAATAATTTTAATGAAATGTCAAAATAAATAACATGTTCATTCATAATTCAAGAATAAAAACAGCCAACAAATGATTTCTATACCTAAAGCCTTAGGGTATAGGATGTGATGTTTTATTTGGTTTTTCAATTACATAACGTCAAGAGTTTGTTATGCCAATATTAGTGAGGTTTTTTGTTGTTGTTGTTGTTATTTTCATACTGTAAATATAATATCGAAATTTGTTTGTTAAATCAATGACAAATACCCAATTTGAAATCAACATTCAATATAAATACATAAAACATGTTTATACCTTACTACTTTTTTTGGGGAGTGTTTTTTTTTTTTGTTGGCGCCTTATGGTTGGCTTTATATTCTTATTTTATTTTTGTTTCTGTGCTCAACAACTTGAAGCAATTTGTTGTCATAACATTATATGACAATTTTTCATATAAATGTTAAAAATACAGTCAAACTTATGCATACCTAATCATACTTCAAGCAACAAATCTGTGCAGACAACTGAAATCGTAAGGAAAACAAAAAAAAAATATATATATATATATATATATTTATGACATGAATTGAAAAGTTTGATAATATAAAAACTCTTACTCACAGTTCTCTATAAAGAACACAAATACATACATCAATACTATAAGTAAAAAGTCAGAAAATAAAAATTGTGAATAAAATTCAATATGAAAGAGAACTTAATTTGACTGTCACCTGAAAGTATGCAAAACATTTTATGATAGCTTTCTTTTTTATGTAGCATACATATAAATACATTTTGCCATAGCATTCGACAAATTTTATAGAGCATACCATAAGGCGTCATAAAAAATTTTCTCGTTTATTTATTTACACAATCACCATTCAATATTCAAAGAATGGACTTTGTTGTTCTTGGTTGCGTTTTTTTTCTCCTTAACACTGAATTTTATATTCCTTTTTTTTAAATAATAAAATTGAAAAGTGAAAAAAGAAATTGTGATGAAAAAGAATGTTCAACAACAATAACCAGGAACATAGAATACAGATAAGAAAAGAAAAAATTGTTTTATTAAAGATGATGTATTTATGTAGTTGTTGTTGTTAGAAAATAAATCATGAAGAAAGAATTTAAAATTTTGTGCATAGAAAAAGAAAACATTTTATAACATGTTTAAGGTTTCAGGAAGTTGAGAGCAGAGAATTTCAATAAATATAGAAACGTGTTAGAAAAATTATTTTTTTAAATATTTAAAATGAAGTTGAGTGGAAACTGTAGGAATTTTTCAAAAGAGCTTTTACACAAGCAAGTTTTCTATAGAAAAGTAAGCTTTCACACAAGCAAGTTTTCTATAGAAAAGTAAGCTTTCATACAAGCAAGTTTTCTATAGAAAAGTAAGCTTTCACACAAGCAACTTTTCTATAGAAAAGTAAGCTTTCACACAAGCAACTTTTCTATAGAAAAGTAAGCTTTTCAGACAAGCAACTTTTCTATAGAAAAGTAAGCTTTTCAGACAAGCAACTTTTCTATAGAAAAGTAAGCTTTTCAGACAAGCAACTTTTCTATAGAAAAGTAAGCTTTTCAGACAAGCAACTTTTCTATAGAAAAGTAAGCTTTTCAGACAAGCAACTTTTCTATAGAAAAGTAAGCTTTTCAGACAAGCAAC